ATGCTCTGGAATAGTATGAAGATTCTTTGGCATTATTCAAAATATAAATCTGATGGAATTAAATATTAGAATGAGAATCAAACTCAGTAATATCCCTGTATCAAATCATTTCAATAGTGCACTTAAAGAAAATCCCCTCTTCTGGAGTATTTCCCATTTCTGTTACTCTGACAGAAGTGAATATTTTTCTGTTCTTGCCTGGAATGGAGCAGTGTACATAAAAGTTGGGAATAAAGCATGGACATCTAGCAGTAGATGGTCATTCTGTTTTGGAGGGTGGATGTACTGATAAATCATAGGAAGGCATTTTCAATCTGAGGGAAGGGCTTTTATTATTTACGGAAACTTTTTACTCTTTATAAATATTCTTGCTGGAAAAGAGTACTCATGACATCTTTGAATAACGAGTCTTCCGTACCATTTGTAGCTCCCATGACACCTACACTTAACCATGTAATTTTTGTTGCTTTTGGTTCCTTTTCTATTGACAGTGCAGTGTTTATTTAGAACTTTAGCTGTTCATTATATACTTATTGATGTATAACACATCTGTAATAACAAAGAATGGATATATTTCTGGAGTAAATTATTTCTTTCTTTGCCTTTGCAAGCCAGAGTGAAGACAGTTTTAGGAAGTGTGTGCTCTTGCTCTGCAGAGAAGTATAAGAAACCCTACCCTATTAGGAAGGAGACAGAACGAATGCTTCGAGTCCCTATTCGGAAACATGTTTTGTAGCCAAAAGAAAATTCTGTAGCTTGGGAAGTGAAAGGCTGTGAATGTATAATCTATTTTCACCAAGTCATCACATACATTTTGTTAGAATTGAATAAACCTTATCAGGGGTATCAGTGTTTTAAAAATTGGTGTGAGTTTTACATTAAGTCACTTTAACTATGTACAACTGCTGTTTTTCTGGTGAGGTTACACAGGCAGCCAGTAAGTCATCTCTCTTCTTTGGAAGTCCTTTTAAATGCTATATTGGAACCTCTCCTTAAATGCATCTTAAGAATGAATTCACTTTTAAGCACATATGTTCCAAAACCAGTCAGCAGCAAAAAAATCCATGGGTGAAGATACTGAGAGCTGCTGAGAACTCAGGCTATATGCAGACCCCCAGAAAATAATATTTATAGTGCGAGTAGTCTAAACAGAATCCATAGGTAAAAAGTGAATGGACAACGGAGCTAAGTTAAGGCACAGACACAAAGGTGAAAGCCTAGCCATAATTAAAAGTCTGAGATCTAAGACACAATTATTTATCCTAAAAAAGCAGACAAGTCAACAAAAAGACAATTTTTAATGACTGAAATTGGTGTTCCATTTTCATTGCGCTGAATCCTCTGGAAGGTGCAAGTAGCCAGCATCTTTACAAGCCCATCTTCCCACTTCAACTCCCCTGCCTTTTGAAGAAGGAGAACTACAATCGGCAGGACTGGATACAGCTGGCGTAGAGAGAGGAGGCAGAACTCACAGCAGCTACTATTTCACGACTGGGAATTGTGCAGTTTGTACTTAATATTGCTAGACCTGAAATTATACAGTTCCTGTAACCCTCCCAGTAGACCTCTTATCTAGTCATTGCTGTCGTTGCCTGGCAGTTTTCCATATAGCAAGAGGAGACAGCAAAACCAACAACATAAAAAGCCCTGAAACAAATAAAAGCCACAGACCCTGTCAACAGAATTCAAAGACACATTGTGCTTCAGATCACTGTCAACTTACATTTGCGTTGTTCTATTCAGTAAAAATATTCTAAATATAGGTATGCTGAATGAAGCAGTGAAGCTAAGAGGCATCTGGAGCACTAACAAAATTAGAAACATTACGAAAACCCCTGACAATACTACAGAAACACTGAAGTAGAGTTCATTTTTGAACTAAACTCTTGTGCAGAAGAGCTACCTTAGTTAGATGAAGCACATACAGAATAGGTTTAGTTTCCCAAATCTTTAGAAATAAAAGACACTGTATAATTAAAAAGAAAAGAACAGTTTTAATGGGTATAGTTGGATTTTTTTTTTTTTTACCCAGCTTTAACAGGTTTTAAAAGTTTTATTACCCCCATTATGGAACACAGTCATGTGAAACAATACTTTGCAGAGGATCACCACTACCTAGGTACAGTTGGAAGAAAACCTTCTTCCTGCAAATCTTAGTGCAATCTCCTTTTAAAATTCACTTTTGGAAGCCAAATAAATTTCAATTCAGAGGGTCCTCTAAAGGAATACAGAAGTCTATATGAATTGCATCTTTGCTTATATGAAAAATTTTACCTTTCCTGCTTCTTGACAGGTTTGATCTTATCAAGGAGACAAAGTGAATATATCAGGGAAAGAACGGCTGTACCCTTTCCCCGTTTTACGTTTTGTCTTCCTAATCACCTGTTTCTAGTTTCCTCCGAAATGTAATAGTAGGCTAGAAGGAACTTTGGTCTGACAAATGATGAAAATATTTGTGTTCATCAAAAGAAAAAGATGGAAAACTGGAAAAACTAAAGTAACCCTTTTAAGGGTGCAAAATCCAAACCTGCAGCTAACAACCTAGCAGGGAAGTTCATCTGTTTAAAACAGGACAAAGCTCAGCTATTTTTTGACATCTGATCTGGACACACAAAAACGAAAAAAGGAGTAGATTGGAGATGAGGAAAGATGCATGTTTGCAGGGTTGGCTCTAGTAGTGAAAACTGAAAATAAAGATTCAAGTGCTAGGCACAAGAAATATTTTTATTTCAAAAATCATTTTCATGAGCCTGAACATCAAAAGTACAAAGATGTACCGTTACACAGTTTGTACAAAATGATCTAAATAATTGTGTTTGAAGACAAAACTATTCATGACACATGATTACCTTGCCGGTGAATCATTCCTCCATGCATAATTCTTGCCACAATGCAATGGTTCAGCTCATTCATTTTTAAAGTGATACCCTAGAAAAAAGAAATGTTTATACTTTTAAAATAAAACATTAAGCAGTGTGATTCTTGAGTGTCTAAGAACAGTCAGTTTTCCTAAAAGCTTGAAGGCAGGGTACAAATTTTAAGGTTAAAAGAAAAACGTTGCCACTCACTTAAATATGAGCAAAGAAAACAGATACTATTTATAAATGAAGATGCAATACTTCAATATATGAGCATATAGGATACTGGTTTGTTAAAAATGTAATTTTGTATTGAAGTGCAAAGTGTCCAATTTGGTTTAAAGCCTAATCTGCTGTAACTACCACAAGGTTGTCTTTAAACAAAAACAGCTCTAGTGGTACAGCAGTAGTGCAAATGCAAACATTGCGTTTTAAGCTAAGGATATACACAGGAGGACAAGTATCTAAAATGGATGCTGAACTATTTCAATTATACTGACAATCCTACTTCAAAGTGCAGAAACTGCCATTAAAATCATTATAATGCTGGCCTTTACCAGTACAGAGTCAAGAAAATTGCTGAGGTTCCCTCCATACCATTGGTTCATCTGTGTTCTTCTGGAACTGCACCAGTCGAACTCGCGTTACGTTCTCCATATCCATGTCGCCGTTGGCGCTTTCTGGAGAATCTCCGTTTAAGTATGGAGAGGTGGGAGGAGGTGTAACTCTCAAGGCTTCATCACTGTAAACTTCATGTGCCACTACATCATGAGTTTGAAGTAAGGCCTACAGAAGATTACAGCAGTAACATATCAGTCTTCCATCAGCTCCGATGCCCCCCCCTCATAAGTATTTTCAAAGCTTTTCAGGAATTAAAGGAAATCCAAGTTATTTGTGCCTCACTTTCTGTATGGGAACTCTTCCCTTATAGGAGCCCAAGACAAACTTCAGCAGACTGCAAATGCAGACACATATACCTAGCCTTTAAAATCTGCATGAGTAAACCTGCTTTTCTACTGCAGATACCTCAATGAGAACGATGCTGCTTCCCTCTCCCCATCTTCTTGACCTCTGCAAGGGGTCAGAATTAAGCCATGCTTATTTATGTGCCTAGACTCAGAATTAGGAAGCCACCTTTCTGAGCAAACTCTTCTACAATAATTACCCTAGTAAAATGGAAAGGTATTCAAGATCCTGTGGTATTTCATTCTAATAAAGACAGATTGTGGATCGGTATTGACTGAAAGAATGAAATACTGTTTTTTGTTGTTTGCTAGCATAATCACTTCCATATTCTCCCCTTCCCCTAGAGCACGGACCCAGCACAACCACACCGAGTTCAAAATGCCTGATAAAAGCTACAATCTAAACCAACAAACTGCTCAAATACTACTTCATTAGTTTTATTCCGTTTCTTGATGCAAAGAATGATACAACTCATAATTGATTAAATGTAAGAACTCTAAACCAGGGCAAAGACATGAAGCCTGTATAACTGTAAAAAGTGTAACGTAGTATTACGAGGTAAAAGTTGGACAAACTGTAAACATTTGCAAAGCAGTACTCAATAGTACCAGGCTTTTTTATGGTATGGCATTCCACTGTTCTCCAGCATATCTTCAAGAGCCCCACATCACATCCATCTCGCCTTTGCAGTCAACTCTTAATAATGAAAATATTATAGCTAGCTTGGTCCTGTCCAAAATGCAAATACGAGTTTTATGTGAACATGCTAGTTCTACTCCTATACTAACTCACCAAGGACCAGAGAGAGATCTGCCTCTATACCCAAATGAACGGGATTCTCAGATAAGGATTGATAAATCCAACCTAGTTCTTATGACATCTCTACCGTAGTAGAGAGAATCAGCCGCAACTGCAATTAAGTCAATCTATATTATAGGTAACATCTTGTTAATTTTCATGTAAATGCTCATAGCTCTTAACTTGCAAAACCCATCAGTCTTGCAAGGCTTGAGATTGACCATCTAGAATTTGTTTTGGCAGAGAAATCTGACTCTGCAACGTCTTAGTCTTGAATTAAAATGTTTAAGCAGAACTTAAACTGAAAAAAGTGATAAAACACATCCCTACAAGACGTATTTCTGAAATGCAATCCAAGGCAGAAACAGGATTTTCATTTTCATTTTTTACAAAATCCTGAATCTGTTCCTAAGGTAGCACTTTTAAAGCATACCACATTATAAAATATAACTTCATAAACAGTTTAAATTCCCTTTCCTCAAATCAGTTTCAAACTATAGTTGGGAATTCAGCATCATAATGATGGAACAGAATTCCCTAAACTAGCAATGCTCTGCCCACTTTCCCTCCTGTTTTTCTGGTGTTTCAAGCCCACCCACGCAAATACTATTTTTAGTTAAATACTAACCTGTATCTGCATTTTCTGTTTTTAATCTTATTTTGTCAGCCACTAGGCTCAAACTTGCCATAATTCCTCTACATTAGTCTGTACTACTGAAGCATCATTCTATGTTAGAGACCTGGATCATACATGCAAGTTAAACCACTTTAATTAAATTAATTCTTAATTTTATTTATTTCATTGGGTGAAACTTACGTGTGAATACTCCTCTATAGGTTTAGGGATTTAGCCTAATTCTCATTCTAGTACCTGAAAACTGTTTGCAGTTGTCCCAGATGGGACAAGAGCAGCCGTGTGCACTCACGCCTTAGCTCCGGCTCTTACAACAAATATCCGTTCTAGGAGCGAGCGTGGTCTCGGCTTCGCGCACCAGCACTCTTTAACAGAGTCGGAGGATCTGTGCTTCCTTCAGCTCAATCTACGCAGAGCTACTTACTCAGCTTCATGCACCTGCCTGCCTCTGTTGTATTCTCCACGCTTTAATATTGCATTTCGTATGCAATTCAGGGCCTTACATTTGTTTCGCATCAAATACTTGCCTTGCTTTATACTGTATTTTTAGCAACAATATACACCTGGTAGGAGGTTAAAATACAGTAATTTGAACATTTTTAAAGGTTCATATTTATACTAGATGACTTCTGAATGTGTTAACAAAAATTAAGACAAATTCAGAAACCCCAGATATTAAAGTACAGCAAGCTCAATTTAAATACTGAAAACATTTACTATAAAGGCTGATATTGGACTTTACTTAAAGATACTTGTTTTCACACATTTCTCTTAATTTTGATAATTTAATTTTTTTTCCCTGTCTCTTTCTCCTTTACAGAATCCAAAAAAGTTTAGTGAGAACAACTGCTTTCTACTATATCATAGGATCACTGTCTGCAAAGAGCGTAGGAAGGCACACGATGATGGATAAAACTTCAATATGTCATCAAGCAAAAGTCTCCCAGTACAGCAAACATCTCAACTGTTGCCACATACTAAACAAATATAATGGAACCTTTTACAGATAAAATTGGCACATTCAAAAAACTACTCGAAGTTGTGTAATGGAATAAAAGCTCCTTGAAATTTGTACACAACAGATGAGGTACTTGATAATCTTTTAAAGAATTCTTAAATTAATTATCTGCTGAAAGATCTTTATGCAAAATTTACATCCATTTCTTTAAATTAAAATGTTAAGCATGCACAGACTAAATTAATAATTTATTCCTGTACTTATAAGGCGCACAACAGTAAAACAACAAAAACCTTTGAATTTGAAGATCTCAGTGCCAACAAGGGTGCTTACGAACACATACTTTATTGGCTTTGGGTCTGTAAAGGCCTATCCATAGTCTAAACCACTAACACTGTGTTTGAGTAAATGAGACAGACATTACTCCATTGTCTTCCCATTAGGTATACACATTAAAAAACAATATAAATAATAGTAAAATACTCTAGTATCATACAGGTGTTAACACACATGATCCTACTTATTACACCTTATTGCTTCAGTCTCTGCATCAGAGCTCAGCGACTCACCAGCCAGAGTATTGCTCTGTACAACGGCTTGTAAACACATCGAGTGTAGGCTGACGATGCTGTTTTATACAATTATTTCCTTTCCTAATAGTATCTATTTTAAAGGCTTTGGCTCTGAAGGGAAGTTTGGCAGAATGCCACATACCTAAGAATAAATTTGTAAGGTCTGCAACCTTATAAAAGGTGTGTCTGGGAGCAGGAGTGGGAGTGATGGGAGAGGATGGGATTGCCTCTTCGACATCTGGAGACTCTTGGGTATCTGCACCCTAAAGGTATGGTCCCACGACAACCTATGCCGATTTAACCGCTGCTTTACATGTTTGTGCTGTTCCTCCCTAACTCGGACTGCGTGTTTCTGTCCCCTTGCTCGTTCTGGCTCTGGCAGTATTCCAGTTGTCCCCAATTCTTTTTGCTAAATGGATGATGGTTTTGTTGGAGCAGTTTTCTAACGGTTTAGAGCAGTGCAATACCGAAGTGCAGTGCCAGCTGAATGTCAGAACATCTACAAGGGAGAGGATGAAACGTTGGCAGAAGGGATGGGACTCCATCAACCAGCAATTTAGCCTGGGATGCCATAGACTAACTTACTGAAATTATTCCTCATCAAAAATAATTGTTATGTAATTGCAGCTTATTCCTTATGAAAAAAACTTTTTATAGAATTGCAGCAAAAGAATTCTGACAAGATGGTTTTCAATTTATGAGGATACCAGGTAGAAATAGAGATACCTATAAAAGATGATTTCCAACTCACTTTTCCTGTCTTCTTGATTTGATACACGAAATTTTTATATGCTACAATCATTTTTATTGATGCCTACTCTGAAAAGAATTTATACTTAAAAAAATTCTCTTTCTCCACAGTGTCTAATGTTTTTGCAATACTGTGTGGTAATTACGCAAAAAAAGGTAAATCAAATGAACCTGTTAGATTCCAAATAAAGAAGCTGAGTAAAAGAGAGTACTGTTCTTGTTTTTATGTAATTTTATTTTTAAATCTTTCTTATGATATGGCTGAGACCATTCCACCTTGTTTTATGTTCTATTTCAGGCAAGTATTCAGTTGAACTAGATTTGTTACAGACTTCAGGATAGGCATCATCTCCAGGCAATGACATCTCAGTGTGTTGCTGAGTACAACATAAAAAGCCAATGTCTTCATTAGCAATTAGTGCAATGAAATAGGAATGAATCAACAAGTAAAACAATGGGGTTAGTGAGGACTCGATGTGCACACTGAAGGCATTGCAGGAGTTTTCACTTCTGACCAGCTTCCATTTTGCCTGTGGACTGAATGCCCATCAGCTGCTGGATTACACTTACTTCGGGCATACATCTTCGAGTTTAATTTTATCTGAAAGGAGTCTAGTTTGCATGCTCTGAGACCCTTACATGATACAAGCCAAAGCATTGTAAGGGGAAAATCAGGAGATTCGCTTCAAAAACACACTCCTGATCTGCTTTAAAGTACTAAAATAAATGCATCCAAAGCTACAGTGGCCATCCAAAGAACACACTGGGACATGCAGCTATCCAGATTTCATCTTATACCTGAATATGAGGTTTGTTTCAGCTCACAAATTCCTGGAAATTAGGTTTATCCTTCAGACTTACAGTAATTCAGCTTTCAGGTAAGCAAATTCCACAAAGCCCCCTGCATATAATCCTTGTGTTAGGGAAAGTCAATTTTATTATTTTAAACTGACAATGGTGTATAGCAGATTCAAGCAAAGACTTTTATTTCTGAACTTACGAACTTCATCCACAGCATAAACAAAAGAAATCCTTTAAATAGTTGCAAAGACTGGACTCCAGTAACTTGAAACAAGTTCTTAAGCAGTCACATCCCTGAACTTCGGACAATTACTGCCCACAAATCAGGTTTGTGAAACAGACCCAGTAGGAGTCGATATGTAACACAAATTCACCAAACTGTACAAGCTATTGATTTGCTGTAAAATAATGTTAAACAAACACTTATTTTGCGATGAATTCACACGCCTTTATCCTAACTAGACCTTGGGAATAAAAAAAAAAGGAGGATTCCAGCTCTACCTATGGACATCCAAAGGATTCATTCTCCCATGTGCAACACAGCTCCCCCAAAAAGACAGTGAAACTGCTCCATGATTAGATTACTCCAAACTGCTGACAGTTTTCAGCACAGTAATGGGGACCAATAGTAGTAGTAGTAGCAATATTTTGCCAGACCAGTAGATTAGAAATATTTAGAAACAGGTATATTGTATTGGATGCAGTTTCATCACTTGCAGATTTTATTAGAAAACTTAAGTTCAGTAAGTTCTCACTAAAGCAATACTAAAAAATACCCCCAACCCCAACAAGAGTAGCATTTGCTTACCATGAAATGAGGTTGCGTTAAAATACGCTTTAGCTCCTTTGCATCATTGTTCTCTGGGTAACATGAAATCTCTTCCAATACCTTCAAAACAAGCAGGAGAAATGCTCATAGTAACTTTCATTTAAATAAAGCTACTAATCAAACAAATGAAGACCTTCTCTGGTCAGTCAGAATCTCTCTAAATGACTATACAAAAGAGTATTTTTGGAGAATGTGCCTTGCCCCCAAGAGAAGAAAATACCTCATTTCAATTTTCTTTCTGAGAGAGATTAAAGCAGAAATTTGAAGGAAACAGTTGCTCTTTTTTCAATTGACGGTATTCCTCCAACAGCGAAACATACGGAGATGGAAATTAAGGGCTAATAGTGACACACACCACCACAACCAATTGCTACTTTCACACATGGTCTCAATTTATTAAAACAATCAATTTAAAAACAGAATGAAAAATACTCATAAAACCTTCTCTCCACAAATTAAACTGTTAAAGATAGATATCAAGTGTAGGTGGTCCATCTGCTACCCCACCTCCAAGTTTCAGATTTTTAAAAATCTGAGCCATAGTTCAGCTTATCAGTGGGGCAAAGAGGAGGGAGTAAATAAGCTTTAACTCATTTGCCTGCTACCTGATATTTACACCTCTATTTTCACACGGAACTACTTGGACAACAAAAGCAGAGCTTTTTGCTTCTGAAAGCACCTCCCAGGATTAACTGCCAGAAAATTTTGCAGAATAAGACCTCAGAGTGTCTCCCAGTGTGACTTCAGTTATTACAGTGTTTTAAAGTCTTCCTGTTCATTCCAATAGCACTATAAACAGTGTTTTCCTATGACATTACTCCAATAACAGTACTCATTTTTACTGATAATATATATAATACAACTATTTTTTTTTTCACTACTTGCAACAAATAAACAAATAAAATACTATTTCTCAGGTATAAGAATTAAGAATACCTCCGTCTATTTATCTTTGGTCTTAATGGGCCACCTTCATTGCATTTCTAGGTCTGCTGTTCTTAGAAATATCTATGGTAAACTTGATTTTCCAATTAAAAAAGCTGATACCATGGAATGTATCTTTTTCTGTGACTTATATAAACATCAAATTTCTGCTACAGATGAATAAACTGGACATGAAAGACACTGCATTTACCCAACAGGAGTATTCCTTTTAATACCGCTATTGTTGCAGCAAGGGTTAAATGATGAAACTGAGTAATACATATAATCTTTACAGACATAATGGAATGCTGCAAGTTTATGCAACTCGTTATGTAACTTAAGTAAGCAGCGGTAGAATTCCAGAAATAATTCAGATTATAAACCAAAATACATATCAGTATCTTAATGAAGAAAAAAATGTTCCACATTAAATACAATCAAACTTTCAAAGTAAAAAGACATAATTTAAAGCCATTACCTCTTTGGCTCTCTGTACAGCATCACTTGGAGGATTCCTGATTTGTGGTGAAGATTTTGTGTTTATTTTGTCATAAAGCTGAAATAACAAGAAAACAAAGTACTGAAATCCTATGTTACTTTATATAAAGTAATCATGACTGCTAAGAATAGCCTGCTTATATTTCCATGATTAAGATGATTGCTAAACTGCAAGACCCAGAAATGTTTTGTATACAAAATCTAGCAGCTTAGGTTTTTGGCTTTTAATTTTTAAACATTTCCTGATTTGAACAGTGCCACAGATTCAGAGTTCATAGGATGACATGGGAAAGTTCACGAGGTTAAGAGATTCTGCAAACCTCCCATGCTTTTTCCACAGATTTACAGAAACTATATTTTTCTACTGGAAGTGATCCTATGAATCCTGAATAAATGCTGCAAATCATATATTCTGCTATAAAATCAAATTAATCTGCATATCTCATTTTTTCAGTAAGTCAAATCATCAAACATTCTGAACAGTAATTTAAATGAACCTCAGAATATGGGAAAATGCTCTTGAAGATAGAATGCTACAAAAGGCAAAGTCTTTGGAGAAGAGAAAACCAAACTTTTCCAAGAAAGAGTGCTCACAAAAAAGAGTATCCTTATTTTACTAGGATTTTCTATCGGACAGAACAATGCCAGTGTATTTAATCAGGAAATCACACACCTTCCATATTAATGATTTTTTAAAAAAACTTTTAAAAAACCCTCAGCTATGCAAAACACAATAGGAGAAAGATCTATCTTCAGTTTCAAATTAGAGATAGATATCACAGGCTTTCTTTCATACAAACCTAACAGATTGTGTATGTTTTAAAGGAATATATGTATCGTAAAGAATAAACAGGCACTGTAATAAGTACTATTTTCAGATAAAAAACCTTTTGGTTTACATTTCAAACAATATAAAGATGGTCACGCCTGTAATTATTTCCTATTTATGTTAGACTACTTTGAGATATAAGACAGAAAAAAATACAAATCACTACTTTTAGGATATTAGAGAAATTTTTAACACAGTGAGGGTGATGAAACACTGCAACAAATTGCCCAGAGAAATTGTGGAATCTCTCAAGCTTTGAAATAATCAAAATTCAACTGAAATCCAAAATAGTGTATGTAAACAAACATTCGAAATACACAGGGGACTCTAACACCTTCAGCAAATCCTAACGCTGGGAAGGATGAGTTGGTAAGAACCCCCCATTTAGGCGGCTCAGCAAGGCGTTCTCAGGAACTTCCTCCGAGAAGCTTACAGCTCCATCGAGGACAGCCTCGGATGTTTGAAAAAGAGAATCTTGCCAAGCTACAGAAGTGCCCTCTTCTCTTTCTCACATGAAATGCCATTCAGTTTTAGAAGGGATGTAAATTGCAATAAATACAATCCAATACCATCATCATTTTCCTTGTGTTCTTTAACAACCTAATCCACATGTTGAACATTTCAAGTCCATACGCAAATAAATACAAAAAGAGGAAACAATGTCACTTCCAAAAAACATTGCCTGCAGGACAGTTACAGCACTATCTTGGGGAAAGAAAAGTAGAAAAGTCAAGCTAAAACAGTTTCTTCCACACATCCAACAACTTCACCTTATGCTGCCAAAAACACCATTATACTCAACCGTTTAAGCAGTCTTGACCACTGTTGAAGTTTTTAAAATAAAAGCTTTCTGCTAGCTTCTAGTTCAGGAGATGCTTTAGTTGTGTACACCATTATTTGTTTTTACTTTTCCTCGAATAAGTAAACAAAACCTACCCAAAGTCCAGCAACTCCAAAGTATTACGTATCACATTTATACACCTGTTAAGAAACTGCCTCAAGCACTGCGTACAGCGTAAAGCGCAGTAGGAGCTGTTGAAGATGCATGATACCCAACATGAATATTATTGAATGTATTTTTCTGAGTCACGCACACATCCTGTTTAAGATCAAGGAAACTACAGAAAAGTTAGCATGAAAATAGGTTTATTAGTTGTTTCTAACAATTGTTTAAAAGCTAAGTTGCTCAAGTTTCTGACTTCACTCACGTCACTATGGTATTGTGATCCACAACAACTGGTAGTTTACAGAAACAATTTTTTCTCGCTATCATGGGAGAGTTCTCTTCTGAGACTAGGAAGGAGGCAAAAAGGAAAGTAAGAAGCAAAGTGCCTCTCAGGATGTTTAGACAAAAAAAAATCAAGGCAAAGTTCACACTAACCAAGGGTGCATTTATTTTTCCGTAGTGCCTTCCTGCTAAACATTCATCCTCCAGGACTGTTACTTACTGAGATTTGCTTCCAAGGCACCAAACCCTTAGGAGGGACACTGAAAGTACTTGGAAAAAAAAACCCCATCATATTTGCATTAAGGCTTAAAGCCTGTATTTTACCCAAGCCATGGGATCCATTCATTGTTTCTGGAGGTAGAAGACAGCCTCAACCAGAGAAAGGATGTATTTTGGGTAGCCTCATGAACAGATGTCTTCAAGAGAATCTGCTTGGGTACTCTGCCTCCAAAGCTCCTTACGGTGGAAGGCACTCATGCCAGGGTCTAACGGAAACACCATGCAAACAGCCTACGTCCATGACATTTTTACCATGGGTGTAGCGTGTTTTTCTCTAAAGTTCAGTTCAATCACCATAGATGACTGTTCAGTTCTACATTCAAAATACAAGAAGGATGTCAAGAGGCAGAGAGGGCTCAGAAAAAGCTTTCCTAAAAGATCAATCATCTCTCCCCCTAGTATATTATAAAATGCTTAAAGAGGACAGAAGTTTGATAATATAAGGGAAGTCAGTTTAAATGACAAAACTATCACATGATCTGAGTAAAAGGAAGTAGTGAGGACAAATTCAGAGTAGAATTAAAGAACTAATATCAACACTGCAGGTCATTAAAGGTGTAATTGATTTACTCTCTTGGGAATTTAAAAAAAAAAATCAGAAACAGACATTTTTAAAATGCTACACTTGAATTCAAGTTAATTCATGGAGTTTTTAGCTTACATGTGGACCAGGCTACACAATTAAAATTGCTTCTCCTAACCACATATTCCATAAACAACAGATTAAGGTTTAAAATTTCAGTGTAAATAATTTATTTTGTAATTTGTTGGAAATGATATCTATATCAATAAATCTGGCGTTCTACAAAATATCTTAAAAGGAGCCAACAGCAGTAGCGAAAGATTTATTTTTGTATGTGAAGTTATCGATAGTCAAAGAAGATTTCCACATGAGAAAATCCAAACGACATGAAGAAAAATGTAGTTTGTCAATTCCTGTACAATATGTGTTTTAGCATACTGTAGATGTTCAGCTAGCTGTTACTATCTCTGTGCTCTGAATTACTTTTAAAACAGGAGCTGACTGTGGCTTTCATCATGTCAAGTTTTTTTTGTCTTTTTATAGATGGGTTGTAAATTCTCAGGTTTTAATTGTGGTTCTTGACATGATGGTGAACACTGTCTTGACCCAAAACTATTTTGAGACCCTTTTTAATAACAAAACAACTGTACTTATCACTGACATTTGATGATAGCAACAGGAAAATTTCCTAGTGGAGACAACCAGTATTGTTACCAAACTCTCTCAGTGTCTATTTTCACATCTCCTCTGGAAACAACCTTTTGTTCAGGCCATGCAATTTCTCTCTGGTATAAAGCATTATAACACTAAGTTATTTTGGAAAGTAGTGGCACAAATTACAATACACAAGACAAATCAATTATTACACACTGAAGAAGTAAAATGACAAGACTGTTTTCAAATTTATAAATACACACACAGCAACCCATGAAGCATTTGTCTTGTTCAGGTTCACATGTGATTATGTATTTCTAATGCATCCTTAGGAGAAATTAAAATAATATTATGTAGAAGATTATAGCAGAAGTACTATTTCTACATTAACTGTTTATGTAGTCAAAGCAAGAAAAAGAACATACAACCAAGACACATATCTTTAAAAACATACAAAGTAATAATAAGTAAACCCAGAAACAAAGGAAATATTAATACCTCTTAGCACTTGCTTTCTATTTTAATGTTTTCAATGTATCATTTCAACAATGCTTTCACAGAATTTTTCTGGACATTAAAAAACCAGTCTGGTTCTAAACCGTCTCGTTTGGTATGTACTCATATAAACAGAAGGACCAATCCAGGATATTATTTCATATCTTTCATTTCCTATTTTAGTAATTGTGTGTTCAGTCTGGACAGATTTTTTTAGCACTATGTTATTAAGCCTATTTCAAAAAACATATTAACTCTAACAATAATTAGTCTTTACTGGTTACAGAAGATGATTAGAAGCTTTCTGCCAGAACACAGCACAAGCTGGTAAGAGAAGAAAAGCTTATACTGTGCATTAATGCACCAGAACCGGTGACGCAGTCCTACCTTCTTTGCAATCTTTGAAAAAAGACTGTTTTGCAATACTTTTCAAATATTTTTGCACTTAAACAATAGCTATAGTAAAGGAATTTAGAAGATGGAATTTACAGCTCCATAATTTGTCTCTGAAAGCATCTGAATTCAGAAATTTCATTTAGACACATTAAGAAGAACATTTGTTCCCTTGGACATAAGAATCCAACACACATTTACATGAATGTTTTACAAAATGTTTAAGAAAACTCTGAATGAAACCTGTTTGCACACATCACAGATTAAAGTAAACATTAATGACAATTACAGCCAGGTTTTATACACTCCTGTGGTACAGAACACATTACTATAAGCAGTTAGCTACCCAATTTCCATCACAGAAAACCAGCCCGTTTACAATGCTGTTGTCTTTCAGCAGCCCTGCAACTCTAAGTTCTTCAGGGACCATAACAAAGGTGGTTTCTTGTGGAACAGAATGAACTGGTTCATTCTTCACTGTCCTCAACAGAACGCTTTTCTATGTAATACCAACAGACTTTCAGCAGGGCAAAAATCTGTGTGCGCCCTAATGCTGGGCTTTCTTTTTGCTGGGATGCTCTATTTTCCAGCAAATAACTCTGCCCCCTCACCTCAGTAGCCCAACTTCTGGCAATTTCACTCAGCAATAAGCATAAA